GGGAAATGAGAGACATGCAAAAAACATAGCATGCAAGGTTTTCTTGATTATTTTGTATTGATCTGTTTTGTTACATCACCCTTTTTAAATGAACACTCCACTACCCAAATACAAAATAAATTAATCACAGTTAAGTAGATATACTCCAAAACATGCATGCATTTATTTGTTAATTTTCCATTGGAGTGAATATCTATAACACTTTGCCAAACCTGCAGTTCTAGTCTACAATCTTTGCAAACCCTCCCCTTCTAGCCCTGCTCAGACTTTCTGTGGCTGTCCAATCACAGACTTCCCAATGCAGCTCAATGAGAAGTCTTTACAAGCCAGGTGCTCTGAGCAATTGCTCTCTCTTGATTTTAGCTCTACTGAGATAAACAAACCAGGAAGTGACAAGACCTGTTGTCTGATTGACAGTCAGGGGGGATGTAACAAGGTTAATTTATAAAAGTGCCAATTTCAATTGAAATCTGCATGTTATATAAAATGAAATAAATAGGACACACTCTTCACACATAAAGTACTTCGGCAAGCTAAAGTGCTTTAGGTGTTTGGAATGTCCCTTAAACTATCTCGGCTCTATTATGGAATAATCCAGTATATCAGCCTACGTCTTACTTACAGAACTCAGCAGCCCCAGCCTAGGCTTTTACCCTTTTGTGGTGTGGGGTCTGTGTATTCCCGATGGAGACTGCAAACATTAGCTGTAACTTAATGCAATAGAGATGTTTGCTGGTCTACTTCTAATCCAGAGACTATGGAACCCCGAGATGAAAGATTGATATCCAACAAACAAAAGACAAGTTATACTCATGAAGGGTTAATTAAAGTAACACTAGGAGTAGCATTTATGTGCTCATAAAGGGTTAACCAGTATCAACATTGTGAAACAGGAACTGGAGTATGGGACTTTAAATAACTTCCAACATTAGGAGATATGTAAATCAGGACTAGAGTGGGTTAGTCTAAAAGTGGCAGACCAAGAACAAAACCTGCATCACTGGCACCACCCAAAAGAACGGACCCTCTCCCTTAAAGACTCTATGAAGATCCCCGGTGACAGGAACACTAACTTAAGAATGTCATGATTCTGTCATTTATAAAGCTCCAACATGTTCTGCAGCGCTGTACAACCTCTAGGATTTTTAATGCTCGAAGGGTTAAAGTACACACTGAAGAATGCAGCTTTAGATGCTTTTTTTATTTTCCCTTTCAGACTATAGCACATTCCTAATACTGTGGGTCAACTAAAAGAAAACTCCCAGAAATCACTAAATCTGGATGTAAAGGAAATATATATCACAGAGCAAGCGTCTTGGGCCCTCTCCCTGGCCATGCTTTATGTCTCTGTGGAGAGGAAGTAGCATGGAGATGTGTGGTTACTGACAGGCCCCATATGCTTCAATGTTGGAAAGAAATCTATATCTACTAAATCATAAAAGCAAAGAATAGAGGAATGTAAAGCGGTAAAGCTAAATATTTTAGGGAGGCCACCATTTACTCAATGATTAGCACGTGTGTTTCAGAGAGAAAGGGCTATTGGGTTCCATGTTGCTGGTGGTCTCATTCTTGTGGCAATAATGTAGAAATATATGTGGCACCAGTGGCTTCTATCCATCTATTCGCATATAAAACCCTCCCAACAGTTCAACTGGACAAAGATGGGCACTCTAATGTTAGGGGTGTGAGTGTGGGGTGTGGCCACGGCCGAGCTGTTCTGAAAAATATTAGCTGACTTACTAATAACAATTTATGCACATAAAAAGTAATTTAGATCAAGAATAATATATGTTATTTACACAGGCTGTATATAAATTTATTTTAAATTCTTTATTTATTCCCAGCTCACCATCGTGAAAGTTGCTGACTTTGAGTTACAAATACGCATGCATGCAATAACATAACAATATATAAGACATATATATTAGATGGCAATAGCATGTGTAAGGGACCTCAGTGAGCTGAGGATTTTTATTTTTTGTATAGACGCTTAGGACCTCAGTATGTGTACTAGTGTTCTTATGTTTTCTCATAATATTGGCCAATTCAAAGTTGATTGTGTGCTCTGCCCGCTAGTGGCATGTCTTGCTAAGTGGGGTTGCTGTCTAATGAATGCCTTTGGCAGGAGATAAAGACCATAAAACAATATATTCAATAAAAAGAGAAATGATAAGAAATAGTGGACATTGATATAAGGTAGTGTATATGAGCCTTGCAGCCATTCTGTAGGTGCCATTGCCTGAGTACTCTGGAAGAGTAGAGTATGAAAGTACAGAATTAAAACATGCCAGGCTAATAGCCGCAGGGTGGTTATGCGCCTCTAAGTCACGCTGGGGAATGTGTTAGCTGTTAGCGTGTAGAGGCAGAGGGGCTGTGGGGGGAGAGAGATCTAAGCGGTGGACTAGTTTCATCATCGGTAAGGTTTTACATGTAAACTACTTTATATGCTAGTAGAGTAAACTTAAAACAGTAAAGACATTTCTGAGATTTGAAGAAGGATCATTATGCGAATAGAGAAGCATGTATAAAAAGTGTTTGCGTCCTTGGGGTAGAAGGATGTACAAGGTGCTTCAGGTCATTGCCGAGGCATATGCTTCTGAGTGTACCTCCCAAGGTGTAAACAGAACGACCCTTGCCGAATCCCAGAGACGTTGCTTCGCCGGAGTCTCTTGTGGTCCAGGCCATGCTGGGGGTTCCTGGACCACAAGAGGTCCAATAGAGCCGCTGCCTGCTGTGGGTCTTGGATAGAGTGTGTAGGCTCTCCCTAGTGAACTTGCAGTGTTCGTGGTGGTCACCATCTGTAGCAGATATCATGACCCCTGAGCTGTGTGATAAGGGGCTGTAAGGATCTCCGCCATTGCAAGGTCTCCCCTGTGAGATCTGCATAAAATGTGAGTCTAATGTTTTCAAATGCGTATGGGGAGGATCCTCTCAGTGCTGCCTGCACCGCTGCTTTATCCTTGTTGGTTTGGAAACGCACTACTACGTCCCTGGAGGCCGGCTCTGGGGCTCTTCTAGGCTTCTATGGAGATGGAGCCAACACCGAGGGTCCTCCGTGTTGGGCTAAGGGGAGTGTTTAAAGGGCTATTGATTCCTTTCAATGCCATGGGTTGAAGGGGCACATGGACATTATAGTGTTGGGAAAACAGCTTCATATTTAAGAAGATAAAAAAATGTCATAACTATCCCAGGAAATGATAGTTCCCTTGTAAAACATATATTCATTTTCTATAAAAAGAGAAAACGTAAAGACGTTTGAGTTTATATGTAAAACTAACAGAAATTGTCTAGTTTTACTTTTATAGCTTTTTAAATAAACACAAAGTATGCATTTTATAGCAGGCTGGGGGCTGCCATTCTGTGCACTTTCTGGTCTCTGATCGGGATTTTAATTCCAGCTGTATAGTAAGGAGATACATATAACAAGCAGCCAATCAAAATACAGCTTCAATATCATTTCCCCCTTCTTTCTCCCTGGGGCTTTCATTATTATCATTCACTAAAAGCCAAGTCCTTTTGCTCCAATAAAAATGGCCCGTCTAATAGTTTTAACATATGTATATGACATTATCTCAGCTTGATATTTCCTATAAAAGTCATTTATATTTAGACACCATTGACCCTTTACCATATGCTGATGTATAATATCTCCTGATTGGCTTCTTTCCTTTTCCATTCATGTATTTAAGTCTATCACTCACTCCAAGCTCTAGAAGAGATGTGGAGACCATGATATGTCCAATGTGGTTACCTGCTGAAATATTTATTATACTCGCGAGTGCATGTACGATCTAAAGTGATGAGCTCATACAATTCCCTGCTGTGTCCTACGTTGTATTTCACTTGCATATATTACTGCCACTTTCTCTTCTCAGCAAAACCTCCTCGATCGAGATTTCTGGGATTTATCTGAGAGTGCGAATATGCTAATATTTATAGTAACTATTCATAGTGTGTGCTTTGAAACAGATATTTAAGCAGCGAGGTACTTGTAAATTACAACCGACTCACTGGCATGAAAGATAAGTATATTCGTAAAGAGATGGTGAGGATCCTAACGTGATCTCTAAGACTCAAAAAGAAGTGTAAATGCTATTATTTATTTTGATCAATTTCAAAGTGAATTATACGTTTACCAGTAAGCAGGAATCGAGAGTGAAAAATGCTTCCCTTTTCGTTTTTAAAAAAAAATGTTATTTATTTATTTTTTTCATTTTTGTGTGTTTGCATGTGTGAATAAAATTAATGAGAATTGTCACAAATTTCATCAGGAGTTTGCGTGTAGTGGCGGTCCAATGCCAATTAATAGTGATAGTCATTTTTATTATTATTTGGCTGTAAATTGTCAACTGCGAGGCGTAGTGCAAAGATCAGGCTAGAGTACATGTTGTGGACTACATCTCTCATCATTCTCTTACATCCATAATGTTTGCAAAGCATCAGTGATAATGTAGTCCACAACATCTGGGGTGTTGAAGGTTGCCTACCCCTGGGCTAGAGGAAAGTTTTCAAGGACAAATAGTGCATATGTCTGGCAGATAAGTAGACAGGGAGCACTTAAGTATAGATTATTACTAACATTTCTACAGCACTGGATACACTAAATTAAGGGCACAAGAACAAAACTCAGTTTCACAGATTCAAGTAAAACGAGTAAAAGAGTTCTTAAAATCACACCATGAATCAAGCAACAGAGCAATGTAACGGAAACCCCAGAGCGGCTGGTCCTTGGCTTTGGATCCAGACCTTACCACTTACACCATTTGTTCCTTCTTCACCCGAAGAAACCTCAAATAAACGGAAATCACCAACAAACCTAACCAGATAGTAGTGTCAGTATTTGCGGTAGAGCCTTGCTTCTCCCTCAAGAACCCCCAACCATCAGCAGACACTTGATGGAGAGGGAAAGAATACAGTTTTATTGGGTAATCAGATATACATTTTTGTTTTAACAGTAAACACACAATAACAAATCGCATACATCTCTCAGACTGCGCCGTTTTGATATTTCATTGTGTCTTTTTTATAAGCCCTGCAAGCATCAAGTTTAACGCCATTCTGTCTTATGGCCGCCTGGCTATTTTCTTTAACAAGAAGGCTTCCCGGTGGAGATCGATGCAATTTTGGTGCATCCCGGTCACTTGCAAATCCATTTTTATTTTTACCAGGTTGCTGCGACATTGCTAGCCCCAGGAGGTGTGGGGTATCGTGGCTATATTAAAACATTGTCTGGGTGAATGGAAAACGCACCGGGATGGCCACATTTTGTACGGAAAGTATAGGACAACCTTTGGGAATAAACAGTAGCAGTCTAACAGCAATACAGAAGGAAACTGTTAAACAGAAAGGGATTAACAGGGACTGTTCTGCCCAGAACAAGGGACTGCCATTACAATTAATATTCAGTCAATGACAAAGGGTTTTAAAATACTTAGTTGATGTCATTGGAAATCATACTTGCCAACTACAGCAAAATAGTCAAATTGGGGAGAAAAACAAACAAAACAACAACAAAACAAAACACTAATTGGCTTGGAAAACTCACCCCAACTTACTTATTACTGAAAACCACATCATTACAAAAGTGAGTAGATAAGATGTGAAGTGGAACACTAGGTTCAAGTTAGACACCCACCACAATTCACAAACATAGATGGATAGTGCCACTTCCACTCTATAACAGCCAAACGTATATGGCGACACTAAGTAATAGATATATGTAGATGGCACCACCACCACATGGATATATCCATTTATAAATGGCATTACCAATTCCAGCACCGTAAAATAGTCATATAAAGATAATTAAAGCACCATATAACAGTCATATATAGATTTCTCCACCTTTTAACAACAGTCATATATAAATTATCCCACCACCAATAGCCATATATAGATTATGTGATCACCATATAACAGTCATATATAGATTACATCACCAGCATATAATAGCCGTATATAGATTTTTACATTTACTATAGAATAGCCTTGTATAACCTGCTCTGAATAGATGACCAGCCTCTGTTTATGATAGAGAGCTTCAGATTTGAGAGTTTGGAGAGTCACTATATCACGTCAAATTGTGACAGCCCAGCCAATCTGTATGACAACTAGCGCAGGACTCACAGCCAACAACTCCCTAAAAGGATTGTAATCACATTCGTTCTATCCAGAAATAAAGAAATAAATAAAACTAGACATTCACACATACATCTTTGTAAAGACAGCATGACCTCGCAAAACATTGCAATGATCATGCCATAGCCTTGGGTGGCAGAGTCACATGGCCTTGGGAAGCTTAGTGCATCTAGAAGAGCTCAGGGTGGGCAGAAGGGGACATGGTGCTGAATATACTGTTTAACCCCTTAAGGACCAATGACAGTCTACAGCCATCAAAACAATGTGTTATTATTCCAAAGAAAACTAATTTCTCTTTTAAGTAATGCAGTGCCTTAATGTTCTACCAATGCTAAAGATTCTGGCATAAGGGTGCAAAGCAATACCACGCGGTCTTTAAGAGGTTACAAGATGACCTGTCATGTAAAGTGCCTTACATTAACCAATAATATATAAAACAGGGATATTTGATATTTTTATTTTTTAAACTGCACAGATAATTGTAATAATACATTTCAATTACCAAACTCACAAGTGGTGTTTATGTCACCATAATTATACATGGTTGTCCTGCCCAGACATTTTCAGTTCAGAGACGCAAAATAAAACATTTTTACTGACTTAATAAGACACAATTTCACTCAAATGAATGTGGTGCAAAAGGCATGTACCATGGATTACGGTAAAATGTCCAGCATAACCCCTTAAGGACCAAACGTCTGGAATAAAAGGGAATTATGACATGTCACACATGTCATGTGCCCTTAAGGGGTTAAGAAGAAAATATATTTATGGAATATGCTAAAAGAACATACAAAGATGAATGGTAAAAGTACACGAAGGGCTTCTGTTTAAAGGTTAAATGGAGACACTTGGCTGTATTCCTTTCCAAGTTCCATAGAATACCACAACTTTCAACTTCGCAGAGTTTATTTACAATGAAACAGTCCCAGAATTGGCTGAATTGAATCACATACTGCCAACAAACAGGAAAAGATGAAGGTTCTTTGATATCTGTCCCAGTGTTTAGTAATATAGTTCCAAATTCAGTAGTTATCTCTGTGCTTAGTGAATAGAATTCGGGTCCCTTGTGATTTTGGACTCAAATTATGGTAACTAATTCAAGAGCTATTCTGAAATTCTGTCTCAGAGTTATGCGAATAGAACCCTTAAAATATAGAGGCTGAGAATTTGCGCTCTGAACCCCCAGTAGTTCCAATACACCAAGGTTTGATGGGGCATTGATGGTGGTCTTGAGCACGAAAGAAGTTAATTATCATTATTCATGCAAAATCTTATCATTTTTATCTCCACTGCCACCTTGTTTTTCATACTCTTCTCTTTACTTTTTAATATTGCCTCATTCATGTGAGGTCAGTTTAGGTGTCTCCACACAAGCAAGGTTCTTTGTGAACCAACACGTGTTCCTATAAGCTCTTCACTATGCCATCCACGTCATGGGTCAAATGCTGACCAACAGAATTTTTTCATTAAAGTGTGAATCAACAGGAATTCACAGCGAATTCAAAAATTTAGGCCAATATAGATAAAGCGGAAAAGTTCTTTTGGGGCTGGGGAAAGGGGGGTACACACTACCTCAACCCTTTCTAAAAGGAAAATGAGGAAACAAGCCCAATTTAATATATCGGTTTATATCACACTATAAACCGTTGATGGAGGTTATACTGTTTTATGCATGTGTGAGTATGTTAAGTGCCTAACTGACAGATATTTCTGGTAAAACCCTGTTTTGGGGATCAAAGTAATATCTTTCAGCCAAACAATAAAGTGGTTGGAGATAAAAAGAAAAGGTCAAATCCATTGGTGCTGGGGAAATTCCTGGCCCACATACACCACCACACACTTCATGACAAACTATTGCCAAAGTTCTTTGGTAGATCTTTCTTTGATAGATAGATAGGTAGATAGGTAGTTTAGATAAATCTATGTACAGCAAAACATTCTTTGCAAGGCTTAGATGGTCCACATTTTTTAAAATAATTTCTTATGCTCTAATGCATTTAGATTCGTTTTTAGAGCAGCTGGGATTTTGTATCTGTGTCCCCAAGGATATATTCAGAGTATTTCTATAGACATCTCTCTTGTTACCACAGTGCATCATTAGAATGTGCTGCATATATCATTTTCCGTGGACTATCTTTAACAATACATTTTCCATTACAGCTTTTCCTTATATATAGGTCGATGTGGGGAACAAGTTACCCTGGGTTGCAGTAGGCAATATCTCCGCAGGCTTCATTGACTGGAAGAAAAGTACAGTAGTTTGTTTTTGTTTCCTCATGTGCAGTTCTTCATATGATCACAACGGACATGTGTGACATGCTCCAAACATGCCTTTAGGCAGCATTTCTCCACCGGCTGGATGTCTTTTTGGGGAATAGTTTAATTGTGTTTTGAAAAGAGCTAGTTACTAGGCATTAAGCTTGCCATTTGTTGTATCACTCAATTCAGCTTGCATGTCTGGATGGAAATTGCAAGGTTGTCCTTTTTATTGCACGTTGAGATTTTTTCTTGGATTTTTTGTTAGCTTCTCCCAGAATTGTGTATCACTTTTTGTGTTATGTTTTAGTCTCATGCAAGGGGTACTCTTCATTTGTTAAGAAGTCTATAAATGACTCACTTCGCTGCGATCTGAACTCTGGAAGTCCCCAGGGTCCCAGCGGCTTAGCTTGCCTCCATGAGTGTGCGCCAATCTTACAAATATGGCGCAGAGTCGGTGGAACATGGAACGTCGCAGGAGGATATACACCCAGGGATCCAGTATCTGGTTACAGGAAGCTAAGCGCACAGCAAAGAGTAGCCAACCGGAGTTTGGAAGGGAGATGCCAGTGTGTTGCATCACCACAGATACCTGTAAATAAAGGAGAGGTAGAGGAACACACAAGTAAGAAGTTAAATAGTTATTTAAAGGGAAACTGTCACTTACCAAGTTTTTTATGTTGTTTTTTTTATAATAAGTTTACTTATCTTCTATATTTAACAAAATAATATTTTTGAGATATGAAAAATAAAATTACATGTAGAATTCCACATTCTCTGTCTGTGAACTGAGTTGGATGGTAATGACAATTTGCTAAATCTTGATTGTATTTAAAAAGAGCAAAATCTTAATAAAATTACCACAAGTTCTAGGTGATTTTCAATGTGATAGTCAATAGTGTAATTTCCAGACAAGTGAAAATTGCCCTTTAAAGGAAACCTGTCCCTGGTGCCTCCCTTACCCCGTTTGCCATAAAAATGAAAATTAGAAAAAGATTTTTACTTATCTCTTTCCAGCGCCAAGACTCACTTAGAGCTTTGCGCCTCTTGTCCTCTTCTTCTATCCCTGGTTCAATCAAATGCTCTTCATAGCATTGATTGGAGATGTGAAGCACATGCGCGGAGAGTGTCATGCACGCATCCAATGCTTCTCATAGCAGAGCATTGAATCAATACTTTTCTATGAGATGCAACGACACGTGACTGTGTTTTATTTTGTTAGTGCAGTGGACTCCAGTCACTAGAGGCGTGTTTAACCCTATACAACTGCATTATTTACATTGCAGGGTTAAAATGGCAGGACCGCTGCCCCCAGACCACTACATGGAGCGACATTGGTGGTCTTTTAAGTAGTATAAAAATGGTATAAAACCTGTAGTTGAGGAATTACCCAAAAATCAGTTATCTGAAAACTTTTTAATTGCAGCTGCAGTGAACTTTAACTCCGCTATCGTTCTCAGCAATCATTTGAATTTGCCAGAGGCAATTGAAGTCCGGGAAGAGCTTCTAAGAAAGCATAGATGAACAATGACTTTCAAAGCACTGATGAATAAATGATATTCTTTACCTAAAATGGAGTCATTGTTCAGCCCCAATATGTGGTGGAAATGGTACATAGGGAATGGTATGTTAAAGCATCATTAGCGTATCTATTGTCAGATTATTTTTGGACAAATGTTAAAAGCTTTAAGAGGTGAGGTACATTTATACTTCATGTATTGTCACACTAGAGTTTCTGGTGTCCTTCTCCCTTTTCCGGCTCTTTGTTCTAGGTCAGAGAAGGGGTACAAATTAAAGGAACACTACCTGCACCACAACCACCATATGTGTTGTAGTGTTTATGGTGCCAGAAATGCCCTGCTGCCCTTCCCCATGTCAGAAGTCAAACCATTTTTGTAGCAGTTTGATACCTTAGCTGGTGTCCACCGGGGGCTGGTCACTTGTTCCATTGAGAGCTGAAGCTTATACATAGAGATTCTGTTAACTCTCTTGAGCTAAGCCCTGTGGTTTTGAGCCAGCTCATTGGCTGAGAGTAGCTCTCTCGATTCAGAGAGCTTCCGGTTCTCATGAAGGAGGTGACTAGCACCAGGAGGACCTTGTTATCATGCAGTTGGCTTTGACTAATGACATTGGGGGTGCCAGTACATTCCTGGCACCATGACAACTACATCAAGCTTTAGTGGTTATGATTCTTGGAGTGTTCTTTTATGATAAAGAAAACCAGTAAACATACAAATAACTAACCAAAGAAAAGCTGCTGGCTTCATGCATGTTCTGTGGACCTTAAATTCAGTCAAACCTTGGCTCAAGGCAGGGCCGGCGCTACCTGTTAGGCGGACTAGGCAGCCGTCTAGGGCGCCGCCAGGAGCGCCGGCCCCCCTCATGCTGCAGCCGACAGAGCGCTCTGTAGAAAGCCTCAGGTGGGCGCAGAAGAAGGAAATTGGAGAGGTGGGGGAGAAGGAAATTGGAGGGGTGAGAAGGAAATTGGAGAGGGGGGGGAGAAGCAAACTGAAGAGGGGGGGAGAAGAATGAAATTGGAGGGGGGGAGAAGAAGGAAATTGGAGAGGGGGGGAGAAGAAGGAAATTGGAGAGGGGGGAGAAGGTAACTGGTGGGGGGGGAGAAGGAAATTGGAGGAGGGGAGGAAATTGACAGGGGGGGGAGATTGACATCCATCACAAACACACAATCACACACAATGCACCCCTTGCACACAGAAAAACACACAATGCATTAGACACACATACACAAGCAATGCATCCCTTACACACACAGAAACACACAATGCATTCATTTCACACACTCAATGCACCCCTCACACACACTTAATGCATCCCTTACAGACGCACACACTGCATACACAAACACACCTCGTAGCCCTTACACATACAAACACAGATTCACACAATGCATTCCTTACACACATCAGGACATCCCCCACACACACTCCACTCCCTGTGAACAAACTCATTGGTGGAACATGAAGGTGGACCCTGGGACCCAGACCTTGAACTGTGTAAAGGGCCCTCAAAAAAATGGAGCTGCTTCCCGTTCTCCCAGAACATTGATTTTTGTGACCACAGTTACAAACCGCCTCCAGAGAGCCTGTTCTACACCAGACCAGTGGAGCCAGACTTCAGCTAGAGCCTATCATCTTCCTCATCTAGTTGTAAGTAGGCAATCTAGTATATTATTCGTGGCACTAATCTTTAATTTACCTCACATTAAAGAAACACTATAGTTCCCAGAACCACTGCAGCTTAATGAAGTGGTTCTGGTGTCTATAGCCTGTCCCTGCAGGCCTTTTAATGTAAACACGGCGGCACTGCAGCACTGGCGTTAGTTAACATGGCAGATCATATGGGTGGGGCATTGTGATGTCACATGGGAGGGGGCGGAAAACTTTACTTTTGCCTAGGGCGTCAAAAATCCTTGCACCGGCCCTGGCTCAAGGTATAATTTATGGGAAAGAAGTGAAAGAGTTATGGATTGGGAGATAAGCAGGGGACAGAAAAGAACCTAATTTCAGGGAAGAGATATGCGTTTCTGGGAGAGAAACAAGGATAGATATATTCACAAAGTAACTGAAGCAGATATGGTTTCTGTAAAGGAAGTAGAAAAGGGAAGTATTTTGGGGGAGAGTATTTTAAAGTAATTTGGAATGGAAATAACCAGGGTAGCCCAAGACATTCTTCTGCCTAAGCCCACAAAATCCCACCTCCTGGAGTCCCTACAGCCCTGTAAATCGCCCTCTATCCATCAGTTCATCTTCCTACCCCTTAAATACACCTTCTACACATAATTACATACAGACACACACTTACCGGAAAGGTTAAAGGATCTTAACATGTATAGCTTGGAGGAAAGACGAGACGGGGGGATATGATAGAAACATTTAAATACATAAAGGGAATCAACACAGTAAAGGAGGAGACAGTATTTAAAAGAAGAAAAACTACCATAACAAGAAGACATAGCCTTAAATTAGAGGGGCAAATGTTTAAAAAGAATATCACGAAGTATTACTTTACTGAGAGGGTAGTGGATGCATGGAATAGCCTTCCAGCTGAAATCGTATAGGTTTAGCACAGTGAAGGAGTTTAAGCATGTGTGGGATAGGCATAAGGCTATCCTAACTATAAGATAAGGCCATGGACTAATGAAAGTATTTAGAAAATTGGGCAGACTAGATGGGCCGAATGGTTCTTATCTGCAGTCACATTCTATGTTTCTATGTTTCACACATACAATTTTATATACTTACAATCTGTATCCTGAATTTAGGTGTGAGGGATGGAATGTACTATAAACCAGTGCCTCCCACCATGGAGTTCCTGGAGTTGGTCTGTGTAACCAGAGCACAGAACCCAGACAAGCCCCACTATTCCACCAGTGAGAGAGGACTTGAAATAGTCAACCTCCTCACAGCAGGAAATACTGTGCTAACCCCCACTATTGCATATTGTGAGGGATGAGGTGGGAGGGGGCAATAGATGGGGAAAACAGCCCAGAGACCGTGGCAAAATGCTGTCTTCTCTAAATACTGCATGGGTCTAAAGGATCCAGAAAAAACAGAGAAAATATGGGATACGACTGGGCAAAATAAGATAGAGACGTATAAAGCGCTCAAAGGTGCCTCCCCGACTCCAAACTGTGGAATTTAGGAAAAAAGTATCAGAAATTTATTGTAAAAAGGTGGACAATAACCACCAGCATAAAGTATATAAAAAGGAATACACTGAAACTGTGGAGTCCTGTTTTACATCTTATCCATTGCAGTGGACGTGGGAATATTTAGCCACCCATTTTCATCGGGGAGGCACCTTTGAGCGCTTTATACGTCTCTATCTTATTTTGCCCAGCCGTATCCCACATTTTCTCAGTTTTTTTCTATATACTGTAATAAGGTCGTCTGTGGGTTACGATCTTGGGAGGCTTCCTATCTTTAATTAGAGATAAGTATATTTTATACTTATATTATTTCACTTACTACACTTTGGTGTTGTATTTTGTTGTTTGTCTAAAGGATCCACTCTGGACCCATGTCCGGCCAGTTCTTGGAAGAATAAATTTGGGGAGGGAAAGGAGATTATTTCTGGAAGGGAAAGGGGGCAAGGGGCATGAGACAAGAGGACATTATTTCTGAAGGGAAGAGGAAATAAATACTTAGGGTGCTAAAGGAATAATGACACTTTTTTTTTTTATTGGAATTAGGTGAGGGAAAGGTATTTGATTTATTTTGTGTAGAAGGACATGACCTGATTCCGACAATGGGGAATGTTAGCAGACCATAAGCAAAGAACTGGATTTTAGGAAATTTTAAAAAAGTGGCATGATTTCTGGGGCTGGAAATAATGACATTTATGCGAAAGAGGAAGAGAAGGTTTGATTTTTTTTTTTTTTTTAAAAAGGGGACTAATGGGAGGGAGATACCTGATTTCTGGGGTAGGAGTGCAAGAGAGAGGTTATCTGGTTTTCTCTGGAGGCATGGGAAAAAAGAAAGAAGGGGACCTGATTTCTGGGAAAGGAAAGGAGAGAAAAAAAACAAAGCAAAATGTTCTGAGGTAGGGAGGGAAGGAGCAAGAGTAGGGGAGGAAAATAAAAACAATCTGAAGTCTGGAGAGGGTGGGACTGAGAGCCTGTATTCTAATGAGGGAGATAAAATGAATGTTTTCTTATATCTAGGAAGAGGGGCATAGGTAGAAATAGCGATTTCCAAATTGAAGGGACCATGGGTAGATACAGGAACTAATTAAATTGAGAGAGTGGGTATACAAAAGGAAAAGCCTAGGGCAACAGTTATCCTTAGCTAATTTCTCTTATAGAAAGCTGTACAGCCTATAATAAATTATCTTATGAACTTTGCTTACACTTGTTTCTTGATCTATACTAGAAAGGTGTTCTATACTGGAACGAAATGTTTGCAAGTGATGTGAAGATGTCCAACCATAAAAAGAAAACAGAAAAAATGTGAGTGAGAAAGATGAACAAAGAGAGAAATAGTTCAGCGAGAAATGTTAAGTGTGAGTAAATACTGTCAAAAGATCATAGAGTAATAGTCTAACAGAGCGAGATTGGATTAGAATTTATTTTTATAAAATGAAAGTAAGCTGTGAACAGCCAAATAAGTAACTGCTAATCATAACTCCATCCAACCATTCTTACCAGCAAGGGACTCCAGCACACACATGAAACAAGAGTGATTGCCAGCAGTTGCACCATCATCTCCAGGTCATGGGAGCGGGCTCCACGCCGCCTCCTTCTTCTTTCCTCCCCAGAGGCTTTTAAGAGTCGGGCTTTCAGCAGGGTTACTCCAACCAAAGCATTGCACACCAGTGCAGCAGTTAGTGAACTCAAGCCAAGACCTGAGAATAACAAACAGAAACTTGGAGGTCCTTGTAGGAAGCACCAGGTTCTAGAAGGTTGAAGTCCATATACTCCATATCCCATCAGTGGAAGTATGGCCACCAAAAAGGCTACAGCCCAAACTAATGCCAGACTTAAACGAGCACGGGTTTGTGTCACCATAAAAGAATGCCATAATGGTTTGGTCAAACCAAGGCAGCGTTCGCATGCCATGAGAAATCCAAGGAGTAGCGGAGAAAGGCCAAAAAATACCATACAACCACCAAGAAACTGGCATCCAAGAGCTGGAATCCTTCCTTGTGAATACAGCCAAAGGACAAAAGAACCAGCGATAACATGTCCAGCCAAGTCGGTCATTAGAAGTCCTGATGCCAAGAGGAGAAACTGGGCTCTAGAGCGTCGAAGTCTGCGAGAGTGGGAATAGGCCCGAGCAAGGATCCACAGGCCCAGTGCATTGGAGGAAGCCCCAAAGGCCATTGATAGAGACGGTAAGAGAGGAGAAGGAGAAGAACGGGGGTAGGAAGATGTTGGAGAGAAGGTAGGAGAAGTAGGAGGTAAGGGCGAAAGGACAGAGGGGAGGGAAGAGTTGGCATGTAAAGGTGGAAACATGGGATTGTAGGACTGTCTTAGGCAAAAAGAGAAGGCATATAAGAGAGGGCACAGGATAAGAGAAGAGTTAAGAATATGGTGTTGGAAGGTAAAGTCAGGCAGAAGAATCCAGGACAAATGGAATATGAAAATTAGAGAATGACAAGGAAGAAAAACAAGGGGGGAGAGAGAGAAGTTATTTGTGTTAGAACTAGCAATTCCATCAGTTATACAAATTTGACAATGTAAAATATGCAGATTGTTTTCTACGTTACACCTCTAACTCCAGAATTCAGAAACATGCTGGCCTCAGTGTCCTTTCATTGAACTCCCTACTGGGACTAATCCAAGCTGTCACTCATATAAGTACAGTACTCACCTCCGTAATGGTACTTTGGCTGTGGATTCTTATGGTATGTTAGGGCTGACTCCAGGGTGGCTGATGCTGGGTGTGTCTGTGGCTATTAAATAGTCCATGGGGTCCGGTTATCTCACTTTACTGTGTGCTTCATTGCAAGGATGTCATACAGAGGTCTTTTCACTCTCTTCTGTGCCACTGTCTTCTGGTGTGCTCTCTCTCTCTCTCTCTCTCCCTCTGTGCTTTTGTATCACTCCCTCCTTCTTCTTCCGTCCTTATTCCTAATTGCTTGTCATGTTCACTGCTGATTCTCTGTATCAGCCCTCTCACACTTTTCTCTGTCTCCTAACCCTAGCCATGTATCACTCATGTACACGTTCCCCCTGGTCTTTTCGCTCATCCTCCCCTGGATGGTGCCTCCTCCTCTATAAAGACAGAGACAGGCTGAAGTTAAAGGGAGAGACAGCTGTAATTCAGAGACATGAGATTTTCTTTGAGGAGAAAAAATAAATGTTTTTTTTTTAACCCCTTAAGGACACATGACATGTGACATGTCATGATTCCCTTTTATTCCAGAAGTTTGGTCCTTAAGGGGTTAAATTAACAATTTAGAAGGAATAGAAATCTGAAACGACTGTGTTAAAGAATAGTTATTTCAGATTTTTGTCAGTTCAAGAGTTAATAAGAAAGAAAGCATGTATAAAAAAATGCAGGAGCTGGACAGGAAAGCGGTGTGGACAAGGGGACAATCTTGGGATGAACATAATAGCAGTGGTAAAGGCAAATGTTGGTTAAGTAATGCCCTGGTGCAATCAATCATCATGCCACATCCACTGCAAGAGGACAAGTTACATGTGATTCTTGATTAGGTCTGTATATCTGCCACTTTGCCACAGGTCAGCAGGCATCATACAGCTTCTGCCCATGTCCCAAACTCTACATGTTAGATAGTGCAGCACTGACACAGCCCCTGTTAGATGAAGGAGCTGAAAAAGGTCTGCAGAAAGAAGGTGGTGGCTGCTGTGGGGTTAGCTTTAGGTAAGTAAACCTCCCTTTAACTGCACCCCATGGCCACAGGAACCTAACCAGAGAGGTCACATTTGGGGGTCTTTGCAAACTAAGAACCCTGAAAGTGACAGATCTACCTATATATAACTTGCAATGATATTAGCAACCTTTATGTTTTGATATAATTGAACTTATGTACATGGGAACCACATATCTCCCAACAATCAAGCCCATGGAATTGGGAAGACACGGATGGGCCACTGAAAGGGCATCTCCAGTGACGCAGACTGCATTACAAGCAATGCCCACAATGGGTTTGCCTGCCCACAAAAGAAACAGCCTCCCCAATGACAGGCTGCCTGGCTTGTCCCTCTGCTGGGTGCTTCTGTACACTACATAGCGTGGGGGCATCAAGTGATGCACTTGCACTGTGCTGCCTGGGGACAGTTTTGGGAACTAAATCGAGACAGGACCCCAATATTGGGACAGTCTCACTATGTACCAATAGTTACATAGTAGTTACATAGCGGAAAAGAGACTTGCGTCCATTAAGTTCAGCCTTCCTCACAAATGTTTTTGCTGTTGATCCAAAAGAAGGCAAAAAACCTAGCCTGAACGCTTCCAATTTTGCAACAAACTAGGAAAAAAATCCTTCTTGACCCCAAAATAGCAGTCAGATATCTCTTTGGATCAAGCAGTTATTACCCCACTAATCAGAAATGATATCCCTGTATGTTGTGTTTTTGCAAGTATTTATCCAATTGGAGTTTAAACGTCTGTATGGACTCTGATAAAACCACCTCTTCAGGCAAAAAATTCCTGATCCATTGTAAAAAAAAAACTTTTCTTTGCCTCAGATGAAATCTCCTTTCTTCCAGGCTAAATGTGTGACCTCGTGTCCTATGTATAGCCCTGTTAATGAATAGGTTTCCACATAAAGGTTTGTACTGGCCCCGAATATATTTGTATAATGTTATCATATCCCTTCTCAGGCGCCGTTTTTCCAAATTAAAGAGATTTACATTTTTTAACCTTTCTTCGTAACTAAAATGCTCAATTTCTTTTATCAGTTTTGTAGCTCGTCTCTGCACTCTTTCTAGTGCCATGATATCTTTCTTTAGAACAGGAGCCCAAAATTGCACAGCATATTCAAGGTGTGGTCTTACCAGCAATTTATAAAGAGGCAAAATTATATTTTCATCCCGAGAATTTATGCCCCGATTTATACATGACAAAACCTTACTGGCCTTAGCAACTGCAGATTGACATTGCATATTGCTGCCTAATTTGTTGTCTATAACAATTCCCAAACCCTTCTCGTTTGTGGTTATCCCTAGTTCATTACCATTTAGGGTGTAAATTGCTTGTGCATTCTTAACCCTGAAGTGCATAACTTTGCATTTCTCTATGTTAAATTTCCCAGTGCCCAGTCTCCCAATAGCTTATTGGCAACATAATGAAACACAATGATGGAGATTTATAAAATAATTATGATAAAAAAGCGATGCAAAGTTCAAAAGTGGTGCAGCTGCCAAGTAAATTGACAGAATAAAACTGTATAATCAGAATCGGCCCGCTGTAATTCCTATTCTTTTATGACTTCCCATGGCCATCCACATGTATCTTACAGGGACACTCTAAGCACCAAAACAACTTTAGCTTCATATAGTGGTTTTTGTGTATGGATCATGCCCCTGCAGTCTCTCTGCTCAATTCAATTTAGGATGTATCACTTTGTTTGGACATAAATAGCACACAGGAGGCTGCTGTAGGCTCTAGCAGCCTATTAACAGAGCACGAGATCAGACATTCTAGTTAAACACACCTTGCAAGAAGAGAAGCTAAAACATTTAGATTCGTTTTCAGAGAGAGAGTAGGAAGGTTGTGTAAGTGTCAGCTGGGCCCGTATGTCTAGGCTGCAAAAACAGTGATTTAAATCCTAGATGGCAGAGAATTAAACATTACGACTACAGGACCCACACACCAAAACCACTTCAATGAGCTAAATATTATGGTGTTTAGATTGTCCATTTAAAGTAACACAATAGCATTAGGAATGCAAATATGTATTCCTAATGCTATAGTGTTCTCCTCTGCCTTGAGTTTAAGGTGTCCGCCCCAAAATCTTAACGAGGCATCAGGCCGACTCTTATTTTTTTTTCCAATGGAGGAGCATTGCAGGGGAAATGGACGTATGCCCAGTGCTCCCCAATGAAATTGAAGTTGGCTGTGAAAAACAAATTTGACTCGGTTATAGTGGAAATGCTTCTATTTCAGGACAACCACTAGAGGCGTATTTTGCTCAGAAATGTTAGCATTACCGTATCTACTAAATGGCAACATTTTACATTGCAGAGTTAAAATTAAACGACCACTGCACCAAGACCACTTAACTGAGATGCCTTTAAGGTGACCATACATACCTGTAATTCCAAGAAAATTCAGTGTAATCACCTCTGTCACTACCAGTCACAATCTGTCATGTATGACAGTCTGAGTATTTAGTTGTATTTCTGACTAGATCCCCTCATTATTTATCAGACATTGCAACCAAACAGTTTTTACCTCTGACAGTCACTTGGTCTATCTTTGGTAACATCTGGGTTTATCGCTTGCACTCCACGCCCTCCCTTTGGCATGGATACTCATGTTTATCATGACTCCTGACATTTTGTCTGATATCAAATATAACTCCCACCCCCTCCCACATACACAGACGCCTCAGCACTGCAGGGTGACGCTCCTAATAAGGCACTAAATCCCTAGAGATTCCCCAATTTCAGGACCCTGGAAAACTTCATTCTTGTAATTCTCCTCCCCCCCACCATCCCATACCAGGAGACTTAACATAGCACAGTGTGTGTACATTCACAGTTGGAGAGGAACAATGAAGGGATATGATTCTGTGGAACAGCAATAAATAGCAATAGCTTAGCGCAGGCAGTAAGAAAAGTGCGTATGTTCTAGAAATAACAGAGTTAAAAAAAATGTTCTAGAATGCAAGTGATGTCAGAGTAGTGGCGCAATGGGATAGAGATAGCATCAATAAAAGAACAAAAAAGGATAGCGAAGGCGAAGCTGTAATAGGGTTGCGTGTTCTGCAATACAGTGAAGAGGTGTGTATTACGGGAATGTTACGAGATCAACAATGCAATTCTACGCACATTTCAGTGTCACATTGACAGAGGTGTACTAGATGCAGACAGAGAACAATTCCACAGGTTCATGACATATTATAGAAGTAGCTTAGTGTTTTGCAAGCCTTTTCTTAACCAAATAATATTAGGAACATATTTTTCTTTGTAAATGTTTAAACAAAAATAATGGTGAGCGTAGGCGCTGTAACTTCGTGATAATGACTTAAAATAGCTAACAGTGCAACCAAAAATAAATGAATATAAGCCTAAACTAAACAGATGTGTTTCTAGCCATAAATCACATCACATGCAGCACTAAGCAGTGTTATAAATCCCAAAATAACACACAAATTTAGAACAAAACAAAGAAAAAAGGTGCACAAAAATATATAGCTGTAAAAAAATTAAACCCAAAAAGTAGAAGAATATAAAATTCTAAACCACACAAAAAATTGTGATTATTGTATGTACTCAATGTAGCGGAGCCCTAGTCCTAGCAGGGACTTTCTCTTTCGCTGGATCACCCAAGTGTAAAATCAGGAACAAGAAAACACCAAGTAGATATCCCACCTCCTCCCAGTAACTGGACAACACACAGTCCTGGGACTGGTTTTATTCCTCCCACACACAGCTTTTATACATTGCCCCTAGCATGGGGTTTCTTAGACACAATTACAGGGTTTTTTCTTCCCAAGATCCTCTGTGCCTGAGAGATAATTGTGTGCGAAAAAAATATAACTCAATTATCTCTTAGGTAAAGAAAAATCTAAAATATTTAAAAACATTCAAAAATCACTTTTAATAACTTCAGAATCCCACGAAAGCCATATCACCGAATAGATTGGATCTAATCGCAAAATTTGCCAAAATTTCACTCAGATCCCTTCGGTGGTTCGGGAACGCTATTCGAATGAAGTTTTGACCGGTCGACCACGAGGTGATGCCCCAAAACAGTTCTAGAGAAAACAACGCAACGACCGGTCATCTTTCGGAGGTTCTCACACAAACACTGGTGAATCCATTCCCTATGTCAATGTTGTTTGGGAATTCCTGCATATTTGATTCCAGCCAGATCAACATTTAGTGATAAGGCCCCATATGCTTGTGATGTCCCTTCCTGAGTTAAAAGGAAGCTGCACATGATCTCAGGTGCTCAATCAATCTTTCTGGCAATCCTCTGTGATTGATGTGCTCTCATTTCCTACTACATGGTTGCCATTTCACTGCAGAACTCTCATCATTTGAAGTCCTCTGTATTGAACCGCTGGCTTTGTTCCTGGCTATGCTCCATTCTACTCTGCCACTCAAGAAACAGACTTAACTTCGCATTCCTGCATCTCTTCAGTTACTTTAAGGAACCATAAATCAATCTACACTGGAAGGACGTCAGCTCCCATCATTCATTAAGGAAAAATACATTCTCCTATGATTGCATTTACTAATTGGTTCTAGCCACAAGTTTCAGGGAACTATAAGGGTTATCGAAAGTCTGCCTCTGAGATTATACTTGCTATATCTATTTGAAACATAATTTGCCAGTTACTCAATGATATTAATTATTGTTATTGGAGCTTACTAACTACAACCACTTCACATACCAGGATAAATCTTTCCAAGTTATTTATTAATACTAAGAGACTGTTACTTTGTACTACAGAGGTCACCTGCTTGGTAACTTTATTGAAGTCATATGGACTATACTACACACTGCTATTTAAGCATTCCTGATTCTGGAAGTTAGATGGGCAGCAGTTACAGTTTCCCAGGCGTTTGCGGGGTCGCGTATTCGAAAACAGTTCCACGCTGTCAACGACCATGTGCCGCTGCCCTCATTCGAGAGACAAAAAGGCCACACCGGGGCACTTGAACTAATAAAGCAATAACAGCCAGGGGTGGTTGATAATTATGAAGGTGCGAACAAGGGACCACACAGCAAGGGGGTTCAGGAAATTAACGGGGCATATGGACAGCCGAACAAAAGGAAATAAAAGTATATTGGAGTTCTCGATTCTGCTACACTCAAAACACATAAAAAGCACAATTTCCCTTTAAAATGGCAATGCACAAAGGAAGAGTGGCTATCTGAATTCTGAACACATGAATTCTGGGAGGAATAGCCCCATGAGAACGTTGAATCCTACATAGCAGGTACATTCAATGCTGGGATAAGGGTGGAGATGACACCCAGATAGCCAGAAATATCACTGCCATTTATTTGTTATTGATAAATTAAAAAGCTGTACTGGACACCCGCGTGTTTCACTTTCTTTATTTGGAAATCTGCAAATCTTCTCTTTTATATGCCATTGTTGTATTTGTCTGACAAAAAGTAGAAATAAATAAAAAAAACATACTTCTAATAAACAGAAATGTAAAAAAAAAAAAATTAAAAAGAACCAATTCGGTAGTGCTGTATATATCTAAGGAGGTTTCAGGCACATGATGTGAAACAATTGTGGCTAATGCCCTGATACTAAGTATCCAAGAGTTACAATTTAGCCCAAATAGTCGCAACAAAATGAAACTTCAGCCCTCTCTCCTTTAGCGTGTTCCAAATACATCATCTAACTCCCTTCTGGATTCCTGCCATTACACAACGCGTTTCAACCTTCCCACAGGGGTTTTCTCAAGTGCAAACATCCATTCTCTTAAGCCTCCTTATATATCCGCAGTTTGGAATCTATGTTAGTACATCTTTAAAAAAAAACGTACTTAATTAAGCATAAAGGTAGAATCTATCAATAGTAGCATGAAACAAACTTCAACTTATGTGATCGATTTTCTCTGTCTATAAACCCGTGTTGCTCAAACTGTTCACTATTTTCACCATACAACAAGTCATTGCTGATGTATGGTTGACTGCTATAATCACCAAAAACTTTGCAGGATCAGGGAGAGGTTCTTAGCCGAGGTACTCAGCCAGACTACCGGAGCTCTGCTACAAAATCCAGAAAAAATATATAATCACCCAAAAATATAACATACTAAAGAAGAAAGCGCTGAAACCCCCCTCCCCCCACCACCACAAAGAAACAAAAAGAAAAAACAACTGACAATTAAACAAACTATGAAAAAAATAACGGTCTATGACAGCCTTAACCAGATAACAAATGTTACATAGTTACATAGTTACATAGCTGAAAAGAGACTCGCGTCCATCAAGTTCCGCCTTCATCACATTTGTTTTTTGCTGTTGATCCAAAAGAAGGGAAAAAAACCCAGTTTGAAGCACTTCCAATTTTGCAACAAGTGACTGTCTAGGATTACTTAGACGCCAGAGAGATATCGAAGACTAACTGAAAAAAGGGGTATGAATTAGAAAGAAGGCCATAAAATGAGGGGCCATTCATCTAAAGTCATGCTCCACAACCGGGGTGCAGCGGCATTCTGCTATGTGATCTGGCGCCGGATGTGCTGGATATGCCACCACCCGCGCAAAAATAATGCCTCCTGGGAGCAGTGCTGCGGCTCTGCACTGGTTGTGCAAGAAAAAATAGTTCCCGAGAACAGTGCCTCCGCTGCGCATGGAGGTAAAACTGTTAGACCTAGCACTGGAAACACATAGTATTCTGAGTGCACGTCCCAGCCAGGTATGGAGTTCACAGCACTATTCCCAGAAGAGGAGCTGACTGTCGTGCTAGCACGTTGGGCACTTAGCTGTGGCCTATGTTTAAGAGGCACACTGACTGTAATATCAATTAATGGACACCAGGACAGAGATATTCATTAATGGTTAACCATGACTGTGATATTTATTAATGGGCAAAATACTGTGGTATTGTTTAATAGGCAAACTTACTGTGGTATTTATTAATGGGCTCCAGGTTTGTCATTTGTTTAATGGGCAAGCCGACTGTGGTATGTTCTGAGGGGCAAGGTAACAATGTACTGTGTATTCACTTACTTATTCCTACTATTTTTCTATATATTTTTTTGCTTGTGAGCCATGGAATTCTAGGAAGGATTTGCCTTGGGTGATAAAAGGTTGTGGAGCATTGGCAAACAATATCTCTGATGTCAATTTTAAACGATCTGTATAAGTAGATTAGTATTAAATGTAAATAATTATCAAAATAAAAATAATTTAAAAAATAAAACTAAAAATATAAAGAATATATAAATAAAAAAAATATACAAATGAGGCCCAAGCGCCTAAACAAAATTATAAAACAAAACAATAAAAAATAAATTCTTGATTGATAAAAAAGTTAAAAAGAGGGGGGCGGGGCCTGACAGCCGAGCAAACTGGTCGCACCAAACCAGAGCTCCATGCGAGAACCGGCAAACAAGTGACTTACCCCTAAAATATCTTACTGAATTTACTAATCTAACGAACCAGAGTAGCGGTGATATCCCGAGGCTCAAATGGCTGGATTGCCGGACTCTGAGAAGCGATCTGAAGCGGATACAGGGTTGCGGCGCCAGCAGCTTTGTGGTAAAACGCTACAACACTCAAGACCCCGTTCACCCCCTCTTGCCGGTGAGGGATTTCCCGGCACAATCATCCAAGCGACTGATACAATCGGAACTTACCTGATCCACACAAGCTGCACTGCAGCACAGTCAAGGCCAAAATGGCGTGCGCCTGCCATACCAACAACGCACGGCCTGCTGGACAACTATGAACAGCGGCTGGACGCACTATTCCAGGATTTCTGGCAGAGAATGTGGCACAGAGGGGCACCAGTTGAGGGGATGACCGACAAGAAGCAGCACTCACCTTCCGATGGCATGAAACACAAGACAGGTGAACCTCGGGGAACCCGATCAGCCCCCAAACCACAGAAGCCGGGGAGGAAGAGAGACAGCCTGAGAGCCACAGACTACTCAAAGTCATCCACTGCTCACTACTGCCCTCTGAGAACGAGAGATCGACGTACGAGAGAACCAGGAGGCTTGCGCCCAAAGGGAACGGCTAAAGCCATCAAGCCCCCTCACGAAACTTACAGCAAAGCCGCAGGGGACTCTGGGCACCTCATCACACGGAGTACTCGGCTATGACTCCCCGCAGGCCCAAACGGACTATCCACAGGCCTCAGCCATTTACTGACTGGTCGACTCTCACCCTGGCGGGAACACCACTTCTGGAGAAGCCACCTTACCTACAGTGGGAGTGGGCTGAGAGACTCTAGAGGAACTGAAGCGAACTGTCTGGTACCTGCCAATCTACCTACAATTAGACAGCCCGGCACAGTTAATTTTGACAGTATTTTATCGTTAATGTTTATGATTTCAGCCTCACGGACACCCCTAGCAAGCCCTAGGGCCTCACCCTCCACTAAGTCACACACCTTGCCAGCACAAGTCACCCTGCCCCAACACTCAAATACCAGGGTTTATAAGCCTGAATACCCTTAGCCCCGCAGTTACTGACCAGAGCTAATTATCGCGCACCTCTTTACTGCCTACTAACATATTTTAAACAGTCATGTGTGGACCATTAACTGACTTACTTAGTAATCCTTAGCAAAGAATCCTGTTTATGTTATATATAAGCGTGGCTATAATAACAGGTAAACCCTCAGACGAGCCAAGCTCCTCACGCAGTGTGCATAACCTACATGTTGACCTTAGCATGTAATCCTTAGACACACATACCTTGGACTAATCCATAATGACCCCCGTTATACAATCTATTACATGTACTATTCCAGCATAGGTTAAGTTCCACAGATAAGCCTTGTAATGCATAAACGCTTATGTCTGAAATCGTTACTTCATTTACTAAAAAAAATTATATATGCAAACCCACCATGCCACAACGCTGTTATACTTTGACTGAGTAAATCGAGCCTGCTGATGCCATTGTGGCGATACAGGCACTGTTGTACCTACCTGCATATCAAAAATAAAGAATATAAAAAAAAAAGTTAAAAAGATAAAATTCTATATTAAGACCCTCAGGAGCTAAAGCTCTTAAATTAAAAACCCACTCCATTTAAACTTGTCTTAACTTTCTAATAAAGTCGCCACCTCTTGAATCTTTTAAAACTTTTTTATTACCTAGAAACTCCAAACCTTTGGGACTTTGGTTAAGATAATTTATTGAAATTATTCAACATAGCGTGTCTCTCTATTCTAATTCAATATTGTAAATATGTTCCCTAACACTACCATGCAGTGGTCTAGTCCTAAATGCTGCAGTCCACTGAGATATGTTAACGATGTATTACATTATTACTTTTCCACGTTATATGTTCTTTAATAGAATACTCTTTCCCTGTGACAGTGGATTTAAAACCTGTTTTCTCACTTTTTAACTGCTATTTTTGCACCCCATACAATTACCACATTAATAAAAACCTCTTAAATCCTCTAAAAAAATATTCTCCCTTCTTTCAATTAATTAACTATTAACTAAGTTACTACTTACATTTTTGCACAGCTTTTTGTTTTCCTAGTAACTTTAATAAATTGTATTCAACAATTGCCCCTTTTTTAAAAAAAATAGTATAAACTCCCAAAAAGTTTCAAAATAAAACAGGTTCCAATGACACCCATCCCCTACCCCCTCAACACACCAGTAGTACCCCAAGGATTACACATGTGAGGTTTTGTCAAATATACACATCAGGATTCACATTATTTATGTGTGCAAAAGTATATGAATGCATACACTCAATACCTGCTAGAACAACATTAATGATTATTGTTATCAAGTAAGCATTTTCTGGAAGTGATTATCAGTCTCATATTTCTGAGGAACATGGGTCCACTTGTCCTGTAAGAAGTGTTCTAACTCAGGGATCCCTTAATAGAGGGGTTACTTTAATACTTTGATTGTTTCTCTGGTTTTCACATGGCTTAGATGAAGACCGTTTTCATTCAAAAAAATGCTAAGAGGAGGAAAATATTAAAAGGGACATCATAGTCACCAAAGCAACTTTAGCTTAATTAAGCTGTTTTGGGTGTGTAGATCTCACTGTTCTGCCATTTAGGAGTTACGTCACTTTGTTTATACAGTCCTAGTCACACCACCCTGCATGTGACTTACACAGCCTTTCTAAATGCTTCCTGTAAAGAGTCATCTAATGTTTACACTTCCTTTATTGCACAGTCTGTTTAATCTAGAATGTCTCATCTCCTGCTCTATTAATATCTTGCTAGACCTTACAGGAGCCTCCTGTATGTGATTAAAGTTCAATTTACAGAGCAGGAGATAAAAAACTCCTGAAGTAATTAACATCAGATTTTTCATGCCGCCGGTGTGAGGGATGAATGGACAGAAAGCAAAGCTATTTAACTCCTAAACGGCAGAGAACGGAACAGTGCTGTGGAGCTCAGTTATGAATGTGTTTATAAATCAGTCTGTGTATATAAATACATTCTTTTTGGTATAAATTACATTTTAGTTGTTTAAAATATTAGTAAGTCACGTAAAATTTCTCAGAATAGCCCTGCCCCTGGCCACACCCCACTCAGAACCATAAATGAAAGCTTTGCTCTTTGTCCATTTGAAATGTTAGGGTGCATGAAGCAGTAAACTGTGAAGAGGTCTATTCACTAAAATGTTCATTGTGGAGAATAGACAAAGGGTTTGTAAAATCTAATGGCAGTAACAAAACTTTATAAAATTTTCCAACTCCGCTTATTTTCCACTGTAGCTTAAAATCTGCAGCTCGCAGTTGCTAGTTTATTTTCATATCTGTATTTCAGGAATAGCAGAGTACCAACTGTGCGCATTACAGAAAACATGGCTATCGGAAAACATTGAAGCAGTTTGCATTATATGAACCCATGCTACTTTAAGTCACACACCGCTTTCTCTACTCGTGCATTATCTGGAATAGCAGCGAAAGGGGAGTCTGTGAAATTAGAGTGTGTATTTTGTGTGCCTTCAAAGGAACAGAAATCAGTGAAGGGGGGTGTATTGCAGGAGCAGGAACGTTAGAATAATGTAGGTTAGAGAAGTGGTGTGTATAACAAGAATGGCAAGTGTTCGAGCTGTGTAGTTGCATTACATGATAACAGGTGGCAGTTACTGGAACAGCAAATATATATTTGTTCAGATTACAAGAGTAGAAATGTGAGACCTGTATAAACAAATGGAGCATCAGATATTAGTAATGGTGTGCTTTATAAAATGAATAGTGAAAAAACAGGGTGTGTGTGTGTTAGGACTAAGAATTCACTAGTTGTAGTGCTTTACAAAAGGATCTCTGGACATTGTTTTTATTATATAAAAAAGGGGGTATTTTCACCACCCTGAGCTCCCCCACTCTACCTGATAGGCACAGCCTAGAACAGCACCCAACACAGCTACCTGATAGCAGAGGTACCCTGTTAAAGACACAGACCAAAGACCAAGAACTAATGCCGGCCACTTGGAACTATTCATTCTTTCGGACTCGACGGTGGCCAGCTAATCATTCAACTGGGTGGCAACTGGAGACCATGCGGACTATCGGGGTGCTATTTGGGCAGAGGATAGTTGGGGGATGAGCTGTTCGGAGGTACATTGGTTATTGGGTATTGGGAACAAAGGCAGAACAGAAGCTCCAGACGTGCCAGCAGTTAAAAGTCCCAGTGGGTGGGAGACTGGTATTAGCTCCAGGCTGGATTGTATTCACCCCATACCAGACAGTGCCAGAGCGGGTTCATCCTTTTTATTCATAATTAACTCTTCAGGTTGAATATGCATTGAGTCTGTATAAACGTGTGTGTTATTTGTGTAATCAAGTGTTATTGATATCTTGACTTCATCAAGTCTCGACTGGAGTTTGGGTGATTGGCTTTGCTCACTAGACTGTATTCTGCAATACAAAGGAGGGAAGCTAAAGGAGGTACTTGGGCTGAATACCAGAGCTCCGCTACGTAGTGTATCCAAGGAGTAAGGATATGAAAGGTGTGCGCATGACTCGCGAATTACAGATGAGGTTGTGAAAGTTGTGCATGAATTAAAGGAGTATGGGTTGTGAAAGGGGTTTCTGTATGCACTGTGTTTATCATAGGAATACAAGTGTGAATTGCGTGTCTTATGGGAGGATGGATGTTGTATTACAACATGGACAGTTATGAAGCTGTGAATATGTGTATTACAGTAGTATGGGTGTGAAAGCTGTGTGTTTCTGTCTGAGACGTATTCAAGCGACCGCAGTGAAATGTGTGTTAGGATTGCAGGAAACGCAGAGGAATACGACAGACGAACAGTAGAGAATATGTATTAAAATAAAAGTCTTTAATGATTCAAGGCCTTTTCATTTATGACGTGTGGTGTCTGAGAAGAGTAAGCGAGAGTCTCAAGCCCCTTTCAATACAGGCAGAACAAATGAGTGATAAAACACAGGTCCGTGACAAAGAAGGGTTAATAGAGTGATGCTCTGTAGGTCTTTGGGGATTTAAGGGCTCTGGTTGTTTAGGGAACTGCTAATCTCCTCTCAGAGCTAGTGAAATGATTCCCACACATACAACACATGCCTAAACAGACGTACGAAACATATAGCACAAAACATCAGTCATCATATAAACACATATCAGGTTATTGACCTACTCAATTAAACCATCTCAAGTTGACAGAATTCTGGATGCAACTTCTAAAGACACACTTGAGACTTCTGTAGAGGAAGTGAGGATTGGCTTTCCAATAATGCAGTGTAAATATATATATCTATTTACTGTATAAACTTTCACATATTAACACAGTCTCCAAAGAGTCAAATGTGGGTTGCTGTTTTCAGTTGTGCACTATAAACTGACAGATATAGATAAAATCCATCAATAAACAAGTCAGCGTACACGTCTCATTTAAACATACACACCGGCTCTTCGTTGATGGGTGTTAATGGTGCTGCAGGGATTATTGCTGAGAGAGTACTCCTGTGGGATATGAATTAATGATGAGACAAGCTGTGCCCATGCAACGCTATATAGATAGTAACTAATTCACAGACAGAGGGAGGGGGGATAGAGACATTAAACCCAATACATTGAGAAGATACAGTGCTACACCCAGGGAGGAAAAAATGGGAAAGGGGTCAGCGCTAATAACAGAGGAGATGTAA